CCTCCCTCTCCCTCCCTCCCTCCCACCCCCTTCCCCCTCTTCCCACCCCCTCCTACCCCCCCCTCTCCCCCGATATGACGTCACCGCGCTTTCATGGTTAACTTGCTTTTACGATGTAGTATAACCCGTCTTCGTTCGCTTTATTTTCTTATTATCTTGGGAAGTTATGGCCGGAGCTATTTATGGGTGCGGGCGGCTCCCCCTTCGCCTTTTCGGGTGGGAAGGAGGAGGAGGGAAGGATTAGGAAGAGGGAAGGATTAGGAAGGAAGGAAGGAGGAGGAAGGTAGGATTAGTAATGAAGGATTAGGAATGGAGGAAGGATTAGGAAGGAAGGAGGAGGAAGGAAGGAGGAGGAATGAAGGATTAGGAATGAAGGACTAGTAATGAAGGATTAGTAATGAAGGATTAGGAAGGAAGGAGGAGGAGGGAAGGATTAGGAGGAGGGAAGGAAGGAGGGAAGGAGGGAAGAGGGAAGGAAAGATCAGGAGGGAAGGAGGAAGAGGAAGGAGGGATGGTAGGGAGGAAGGATTAGGGAGGAGGATGGAAGGAAGAGGAAGGAAGAATTAGGATGGAAGGAGGGAAGGAGGGAAAGAGGAGGAAAGGGGGAAGGATTAGGAGATGACGGAAGGAAGGATTAGGATGGAAGGAGGAGGAGGAAGGAAGGGTGAAGGAAAGGAGTGGAAATGGTGAAAAAGAAAGACGAAAGAGAATGAAGATCAATAAGAGAGAAGAAATAAAAGAAAGAAATGTAAGGGGAAAAGACAGAAGAAGATTAAAAGGAAAAGATAAAGAGATTAAGAATGAATGGGTAATGAAAGAAGAAGAGCAGAGAAGAAGGAAGAGCAGGAAGAAGAGGAAAAAATGGAAAACGAGAAACAGAGGCATATATAATAAAAGAAGGATAATAGGGAACTAAAAAAAATGTGTGAATCAACAAGAGAAAGATAAAGAGAGAAAGGAAGAGAGAAAGAAAAAAGAAGAGAAGGAAGGGAGAATTAAAAGAGGGGGGAAAGAGAAGAAGAGGAAAGAACGGAAGGGAAAGAGGAAGAAGAAAATGAAATTTGAAGGAAAAAGGAAAGAGGAGAGGAAAAGAGGAGAGGGAAGGACGAAGGTAGAAGGAATATAGAAAGAGAGTTATTTATATTGTAGAGGAAAAAGAGAGGGAAAGTTTTAGGGAAAAGAGAAGAAAAGAAGAAAGAGAGGAAATGGAGAAAGAAGAACTGAGAGTTGGAGGTGGGAAGCAACACTCTGTGTTTGTGTGCTTGTGTGTGTGTGTATATATGTGTGTGTGTGAAAGAGAGAGAGAGAGAGATAGATAGATAGAAGATAGATAGATAGATAGATAGAGAGAGAGAGAGAGAGAGAGAGAGAGAGAGAGAGAGAGAGAGAGAGAGAGAGAGAGAGAGAGAGAGAGAGAGAGAGAGAGAGAGAGAGAGAGTCAGAAATACTTTGAAACCGAAACAGAAGTGAAGCATCACATCATAAACAATTATCTCTTTCTTAATATTCCTATTATCCTCACTGTGATCATGTCGCATTTCTGTAAAATTAACAACAAAAATCCATGATAATGCTAATATGATAAAGATATTGAGAATGATAATAATGATGATAATAATAATAATGATGAATGATTGATAATAATAACAATAATGATGATGATAATAATAATAATAATAACAATAATGATAATAAGTAATGATGATAATAATAATAACATGATGAATAATATGAAATATAACATAACAATAACAAAAAATGATGATAATAATAGTGATAATGATGATATAATGATAATGATAATAATAATGATAATAGCGATGGCAATGCTAATGATAAGGATGATGAACGAATATTACTACTCTAATTGTACTAATGATGCTGATAATAATATTGATATTACTACTACCAATATTACAATCGCCACTACTACTACTAATGACAGTAAATACAGCAATTACCGTAGTAAAAATAATGATAATAACAATAATGGAAAGAACAATGGTAATGGTGATAATGATAATAATGTTAATAATGCTACTACTATTCTATAATATTATATTGTTATTACAACTACTATTGCGTAATGATAATGATGAATAACAATCATTAATCAAATGATTGATTAATTCTCCATAATTATTCTATATATTACATTGTGTCATTATCATTGCCTACAACAATTAACAATATCTAATACAGTCATCTTTATTGTCGTATCACATATGACACACAAACACGTCCATACATATACATATTACAGGCACACGCACACATAAACATACACAGACACACGCACATACACATAAACATACATACACAGACACATACACATACACATAAACACACATGCAAAGACACACGTAAATACACACAAGACACACATACACATAACACACAGAACCACATATATACCCTCACATGCCAACACGATTCCTCAAGCTATCCTCCCCCTCTCCCCTCCTCCCCTCCCCCCCTCTCTCCAGGCTTGAGACATATCGCAATATATATACTTCAGCACAAAGTTATAATGTAACTCCGCGCATTAAACTTTCGTATGGTACGAATATACGGGTGTTTCTGGGGGGGGGGGGGGGGAGGGGGGAGGGGAAGGGAGGGAGGGAGGAGGAGGGGAAGGGAGGGAGGAGGGAGGGGAGGGAGGGAGGAGGGAGGGAAGGGAGGGAGGAGGGAGGGGAAGGGAGGGAGGGAGGAGGGGGAGGGGATGCAGGGAGGGAGGGAGGGAGGAGGGTGTATGGGAGGGAGGGGGGAGGGGGAGGGATAGGTCAGTGGACACGCGTGGAGAGAAATTCGCAAGAAGTCGGAATTCGCAAATTAAACCATTCATATTTCAGACTCTCTCCGACAGCGACCCGTCTTCCCGCCCCCCCACCTTATCCTAAAGACGAACGAAGTTACCCCTTCGAGTCCCCCGCGCTACGTCACAGAAAACGGGAGAATCTGGTAATTCTCTTTTGCCAATTACGAAACAAACTTACGAAACACATTTTCCGTAGTACAAGCAAAGCAAACTATTTTTTGGATTAAATTTCTAGACTGATGTAACGCTGAGTGGTTCTGAACAACTGTATATATATAACAAAAATCCAAAACTTTGGCGGGAAACTCGAACGTTAACTTACACAAAAGTTATGAAACACGATGTTCTGTCAGGAGACACGGAACTTCACACTTAAACAAATTAGTGTTTTCTTTTTAACTATCACCGTAATTATCAATCTAATTATGTGTTGTTATCGCTGTTACCATCATTAGTCGCTGATGTCATCATTATCATCAATGCTATGATAATTTTGATTATTATTTTCATCAAAATCTTCATCTTAGCGATATCACCACTGTCATCATCATTATTACCTTTATTAAAGGGAGAAAGAGCGGTGAAGAAGAGAGAGAGAAAAAAGAAAATGGTAAAAAGAACATTTAAAAAAGCGAAAGGAGAAAGAGGAAAAGAAGACTATCACAAGGGAAAATATATAATTAGGAGGAGGACAGAGAGAGAGAGAGAGAGAGAGAGAGAGAGAGAGAGAGAGAGAGAGAGAGAGAGAGAGAGAGAGAGAGAGAGAGAGAGAGAGAGAGAGAGAGAGAGAGAGAAAACATTGAAAAAGAACGTGAAAAAAGAAGAAAGAAAAAGAAATTATTGGAACAAGCGACTACGAAAGAAGAAGAAAATAAAACAATATCACACATTCACAAAGAAAGAAAGAAAGAAGAACAAGTAATCGTAACATTCCGAAGAATTAAATATTCCTTGGCCGCCATAAAATCGACACGCAGCGTCTTGAAGCAGATCCGACATCGAAGCGAAATCCACACAACCTGAGCGATCTTCACCAACCTTTTCTCATGTTTATTCTTCTTCAAATTAATCTTCTTTCTTTTTTTATTTATTTATTTCTTGATCTTCTTATTTTTCTTTTCTTTTTTATTTGTCTCCATCTCTCTTCCCTTTCTGTCTTTATCCATCTATCTCCCCCTCCTCTGTCTCAATCCTCTCCCAATCTCACATATCCCTATCCCACACTCCTTACCCCCCTCCCTTTCTCTCTCTCTCTCTCTCTTCCATCTTTATTTCATCCCTACCATCCCCCCTCCCCCCCTCATTTTTCCATCTCTCTCCCTCTTTATGAAATATTAATGTTCATCCTCCAGTGTTTCCCTCACCCGTATCCTTTCCTTCACAGAATCGCACCCTGAAAATCCCTTTACGCTTCCTCTACTTCGTCTTCTTTATTCATGTTTTTCCTTTTCCCCCTTTCGTCTCTGATTTATGTCTCGGTTTTCTTTTATTCAAAAATTTGTTTCGTTTACTGCGCAATGTATATAATCTATATACATATCTATCTATCTGTAATTTATCTCTCTCTATATATATACATATATGTACACACACAGACACACACCCACCCACACACACAGAATAGACACAACACATACATTTGCATATGTATAATATATGTATATCTATATCTATCTATATATGTGTAACACAGAACACACACACACACACACACACACACACACACACACACACATATATATATATATATATATATATATATATATATATATATTC